CGGTCGTGAGATAGAGCTCCTTATCGTCCTCGGGCTTGGAGTTGGCAAAGGAAGCGACCATGAGACCCTCAACCTGGATCTCCATCTCGCCGTCGGGGTTGTAGATGCTCATGTCACCAACAAACTTTGTCGTCGCGGTCTTAGTGCGAGGAATCTCCTGAGTAATGACAGAGTCGACAACTAGCGATGCATTGTCTGCAGGCTTACCATCGCAAAGCGCGAGGTTGAAGCGAATCTTCTCAATGCTCCTGGGGAGGAAAGAAGTCCAGAGAGACTTGTCACCGGGCGAAGCCACAGCGGCAAAGACGGAGTGGAAGCAGCTGTCCAGGGTGGCAGGGCTGACGCCGAGTCCGGTAGTATCGGTGTTGTGGAACTTCTGGAGCGTAGCCGAGCAGAAGTTGTATCTGCGATCAATGCTTTGCAGAGCGCGGAAGGGGCCAGTGTAATCCAAGCCGATGTCCAACATCATCTGATAGAAGGAGTCGGTGTCGGCAGGAAGAGTTTCAGCCATCGAGGGATCGCGTGTGGGGAGGGCATCTTCTGATGGCTCGCCGAGGTAGATGCGAAGGTTACCAGTGAAGTTCTTCTGCATAGGAGTGACACCATCAGCGTAGCATGATGTGATGGTGAAGACACCCTCGATAATCTTGCCAGCCAAGCGGCCCTTGGTGGAAGGAGGCGCGATGCTCAATGACACCAAGATTTCGACACCGTAAGTATTGGCCTCCAGGGAGATACCACTCATGAACTCGAGATCCGTGAGCTCAACAACCGAAGCCTCACGGCCATTGAGAACAGCCTTTGCAGCATCCAGTGCAAGCACACAGTAAGCAGAGGCAGGAAGCAGAGCCTGGCCCTGGAACTTGTGGTGCTGGATCCAGGGGACAGTCTCAAGCTTAAGGATGTTGCGCCATCTCAGCTCAAACTCCGTGTCATCGCGGGTACGAACACCAAGAAGCTCATGAGGTCCCTTCTCGCGGAACTGGTACTGGTGGGCGATGCGGGACTCGCGGAAATGCATCTGGCTGTGGTCCCACGGGTAGGAAGGCAGCTCGATTCTCGAAGACGAGAGACCAGGCTGAGAAGACTGTGCGACGAGGAGTCTCCAGTCGATGGCATCGGTGCCAAAGTAGTTCCAAGTAAAGCCCAGGAACTCGGCAAAGGCGTGTCTGTCGTCTTTCTTGCGGTCAAGTAGGCCAGCATACGACAGAGCGCCACCAGTGGCAGCTTTGACGGTCTGCTGGACGGGACCCTTGAGCGCGGGGTGAGGACCGACCTCGACGGCACTGGCAAAGGGACCCTGGGAGCTGAGAGCAAGATCAATGGCCTCGTAGAAGGAGACGGCCTTGACCATGTTGTCCTTCCAGTAAGGGCCCTTGAGCTCCTCGATGCTTGGCTCTGTGCCATCAGCATACACACTGGAGATCCAGACGGTCGAATTGCGCTGTCTCGGCTCAATGCCGCAACCAGCCAAGTCTTCCATGTACTGAGCCGCGGGTCTCTCCATGTGAGCAGAGTGGTAAGCAGTGTCGACGACGAGAAGACGAGCGAACTTCTTCTGCTCAGTCAACTCAACCTGAAGCGCCTTGACCGCGTCCACGTCTCCAGAGAGAGTAACACTGGTCGGCGCATTGCTGGCAGCGACCCAGATACGACCCTTGATGTCGTCCCGGACGCAGAGAGCCGACGCCTCAGCGCGGGTCATACCGACAGCCATCATCATGCCCTTCTGGCCATCCTTGCCGCCGGCAAGGTGAGCAGACATACCCCTGTAGTAGGAGATGAGCATGGCATCGCGAGCGCTAAGCACGCCGGCGGCATAGGCAGCACTGATCTCGCCGGATGAGTGGCCGACAACGGTGTGGAAGGAGACACTGATACTGCCAAGCAGGTCGATAAGAGCAATCTGCACCGCAGTGCAGAGGGGCTGAGAGAGTGCGGCAATGTTGATGCGGGAGGCATCATCCTGATGGATGAGCTCCTCAATGAGGGACCACGTGGGCGGGTGGGGGCAAGACTTGAGAACCTTCTCGAGGTTCTCAATGGTGTTCCTATAGACGCTGCTGGAGTGGAAGAGCTTACGGCCCATGCCGGACCACTGCGCTCCCTGACCAGTGAAGATACCGAGAATCTTGACTTCGCCGCCGTCGAGCTTGGCGCGAACACCAAGCTCAGGGTTGGAAGAAGACCCGGCTTTGGAGAGAAGGTTGTCGAGGGCGGCAATGACTCCATCGCGGGAGTCCGCGCTGATGGCGGTGCGGTAGGTCAGGGCCGAACGATGGGCGTACAGGTTGTAAGCGACCTCGTCGGCCGACTTGTCAGTCGACGCCATGAAGTCACGAAGGGCCTGGGCCACAGCAACAAGAGACTTCTGTGACTTGGCAGAGATGACTAGAGGAAGGCCGACAGCGGGAGCTTCGGCGTCATAGGGTGCGGTGGTGAGCGACGAGACTGGTGCCTCCAGTGCTGGAGCGAAGTGCTTCGCGACTTCATCGTGGATGCTAGGCTCGTACTTCTCGAGGATGGCATGGGAGTTGGTGCCGCCGAAGCCGAAAGAGTTGACGCTTCCTCGGAGGGGCTGGCCAGTCGGGGCCTGGGGCCAAGGGACGATATCGACAGGGATTCGGAGGTGTCCGTAGAACGGCTTCACGCTAGGGTTGAGGGTGTTGAGATGCAGGTTGGGTGGAATGCAGTTGTTAATCATGGAGTGGGCCACCTTAAGTAGGCCAGCTAGACCCGCGGCGCCTTCCGTGTGGCCGATGACCGTCTTGATGGATCCGACTACAAGCTTCGTATCGTCACTCTCGGCAGTAGTCTTGGCCTCGTTGCCGAAGAATGCCGTTGAAATGGCCTCGGCCTCCCTGGGATCTCCGGCCTGGGTGCCAGTTCCGTGAGCTTCGAAGTATTGGGGTCTATCACTGGGATTCTGTGAGTCCAGACCGGATCTACGGTACGTGTCCCGAATCAACTCGGCTTGGGCGAGGGGGCTGGGCATGGTGATACCCTGAGTGCGTCCGTCCGAGTTCACACCAGTCTCTCTCACGATGCTGATGATGGAGTCGCCGTCTCTCAAAGCCTGAGACAGTGGCTTGATGAACAGAGCCGCAAAGCCTTCACCGCGGGCGTATCCGTCTGCACTCATATCCCACATCTTTGATGTGCCTGTAGGGCTGAGCATGTGCAGACTGGCCTCGCTGATGAATTGCTCGGGGGTGATCATCAAGTTAGCACCGGCGACACAGGCCATCTCGCACTCACCGGACCGGAGACTCAAGACGGCCTGGTGAAGAGCGACGAGACTTGATGAGCATGCTGTATCAATGGTCATTGAGGGACCACGGAAGTTGAAGAAATATGAGATTCGGTTAGAGAGAATAGCCCGTGAGTTGCCTGTGGCGAAGTATTGATTCGATGTAATGTCGTCTCTTTGGCATAATGAGTCGTAGTCTGCTGTCATGAGCCCTGCGTATACGGCAACCTTCTTGCCAGCGTATTTCTCGAGTGTATATCCGGCCGATTCCAAGGCTTCGTAGACGACTTCGAGGATGATGCGTTGTTGAGGGTCGATGGCCTCGGCCTCCTTGGGTGTGATGTTGAAGAATCCTGCGTCCCATACACGGTGATCTTCCTCGAGAAAGTAGCCCTGTGTTGCGTTGGTTGCTCCATGGTATTCGCCGTCTGGGTGGTAGAAGCTTTGGGCGTTAAACCGGTTGCTCGGGACCTCTTGTGATAATTGTCTGGGGTTGGTGAGAAGATCCCAGAGTTTTGTTGTTGATGTTACGTCGCCAGCGAATCGACAACCTGTGCCAACAATGGCTATAGGCTCTGACTGGGGTTTCTTGTAGGTAGACATTGCTGTCAGGGGTATTTCTAGGATAATTAGGTATTATGGGGGGGTTGGAGAGAGAAAAGAGAAGAGTATAAAACTCCGTGTAAGTCGTCGACACGTGGGCTGAATTGTCCGATGCGTGAAGATGGAGGTAAGAGGTATAACAATAGGGAAGAATGGGAAGGGCTGTGGTGATCGAGGGAAAGACATCATACTGGACGGTGCGATATGAAGGGATATATAGACAATCAGTTGATGGCAGCAACAATATCAAACCTCGCGATGGTTCCTCCCTGGCGGACAGTGTCGATTACATGACGCCTGTGCCCCCATGTCAAAAAAGTAAGGGGGCAAACCGCCTTACTCCGCCTAGACCCAAGCACCCAGAAACCCAAGACCCAAGATCCCAGATCCCCCACGGTACGGGGGTGTGCTGAAGAGGAACTGGGGGGGATCTGGGAAGGGGAGGGGCGTAGGGGGCGTGTGGGATGGAAGTTGAGTTGAGGTTCGGCGATGGTTTGTCTGTTGGTGGATCAAAAGGGGTGGTTCGGAGTTCCGTGGCCGAAGAATGTCTCGAACGGTCGCCGGGATTATTTGGCGTGCACGTTCGGCGTTGACTATTTTAGTTGCCAGCAAACAAACGGGATTCCGACTATTATTTAGTCAGCCAGTCTCTCGATCTCGGTCTCGCAGACGCCATCGGCCGCCCGGGAGGCTTGATAAGACGGCGCCTCTTCTTCAACGACGGCTCATCCAGCGTGTGTAAAAGTGACTTACGTCTGTTTCGGCGCTGGGAGCAACCGATGTCATCAGAGACTCAAGAAAGAGAGACCTAACGACGAAAACGGTCCTGTACTCAAGAATTTCGGAAGCGCGATCCGTTCCGTAGTGACTTTTAACTTTCACAAAGTCAATGTATCAACGTGCATATCTTCCTCGTGGAGAATATGGGGTACTTGCACATGAAAGACGTTTCTTTGTCCCGCGTGGTTCAGATTGAGGCTGTCTTGGCTCCTCATGTCTAAAAGTGACTCCATCCGATCCTATGAATTCCATGACACAACTCCATCCGTCGTCCAATTCTCCACACTAAGCATATTGAGAAGCAAACCGAGGCCATCAATACAGCAATTTGCACTATCTAACATGATTACACTCCTTGGCTTCGTCTTCATCCGTCGAGAGAAGTCTCCATTGCCTTCCGTAGATCCTTTAGTTCCTTGCCTAGGCTTTCTTCTTGCCTCTTCAGTGCCTGAAATGAGACATCGACTACTCCAGAGAACATTGAGGCTGCATCAGGGGCCTTTCCCGCTGGTGAACCATCCGATCGCAGAGTCGGATCGAGTGATGCAGATGCTCGCCGCATCTGTAAAAGAAACTCTTCCGCTAACTGAATCGTGAGAGACATCTGGAGGGACGGCGCCGAGTCGACGGCAAAGGAGCCCACGGTGACGCCAGGAAGTTTCCATGACTGAAACAGGTGACCCGACTCAAGCTGATTTAGCTCTGAGTGAATGCAGCTGAAGACCTTCTGGTACATGTCTAGAAGCCGAACATACGTCGAGAGGACGAAGAGACAGGTCGCCGGATCCGACAAGGAGTTGAGTCCTTTGGCTAGTACAGAGTTCCCGCCATCGCTTGCGGGAGAGGCGGCCTCCATCGGTGGAGACATTTCCGCAAGAAGGTCAGCAAAGTGTCGAGAGAGTTTGAACATCTCATCAACTGGGAAAGGCGCCGAGGTAGAGCTTCCGTCATCGGGCGTTGAGGCTATGCTGGATCGGCCGGGCTCCTCGGATGAGTCGATGTGCGCGGGTAGGTTTGACGAGAGCTCAAAGAGCCTGGAGTTGACTTCGGTGATGCGCGGCATCCACTCTCCAGTCGATGGTCCTTGGCCAGCAGCGTACGGCCGGAGCATGATCTGCCTTGTTCTTTGCTTGACACGCTTCCTTGCTCGCCGTGGTGGAGTAAAGTCATGCGGCTTACTCGATCTTGAAGAAGATTGCCTTTGCAACGCAGGGCTTCCGAGATAGACCCGGCCGACCTGGTCTGCTTGCGGTGCCATGGGTGAGGTGAATGCCGAGTCTGAAGTTGCCGAGTGGACTGGGCTCCACGGATGGGTAATGGAATCTCCATGTCCTGACATCAGATCGTCCATGGCTCCGGTGAAAGTCTGGGGTAATTGTTGTTGGTTTGTGCTGGGTTGATAGAGGCCGGCAGAGTTGCCGAAGCCAAAGTCGAAATCGACCATGTCAAGCATGGCCTCAGGTGAAACGACAGCATTGTCTCCGAATGCCGTGTTACCACAGACGGGACCACCATGTTGGGTCTTGACGATAACTACACGAGGCAAGAATCATCAGTAAAGGGAGGATTATTCTAGACAAGTCAAAGACATCTAAGACTCACCTTGATCGGACTGTGTGACTTGGGCGGCCCCGCTCTCTGTACGCTGCCGCTTGGGAGTCGGGATGGCTCTTCGTACAACCTCTCCTGTTGAGCCGTATTGGTGGTGGTTGTGGTTGTGGTGGTGGTGCTGCTGCTGCTGCTGCTGACTGTGTTGCTTGCGATACCGCAGAGAAGGGCTCGAAGTGCACTCTTCCTTGAGTCTGATACAGCGCTCACAAGCTTCATCGCCGACGCGCTTACAGCTGAGCTTCTGCCTATGACACCGATCGCAGGCCTTCCGAATCGGACCGTCAGACATTGTCACTGCCATGGTTCGGCGTTTGCAAAACAAGAACAATTTGCGAGGGAATTCCAGAGAGTCGGGGGTGAGGGGAGGTGTGTAGTCAAATAGGCCTGGATCCATTCGACCAAGAAGTGGGCTGCTCCGATCCCTAGTCAATGAGACAGCTACACATGAATGCTTTTCTCTCGACCGGGGACAAGAGTACCGTTGATGAGGTGCAGGGCAAAAAGAGAGAGATCCAGCGAGCAGGCGAGGTACCGAAGAGCATCGACTACGATACGACCCGAGCTGATCCATTCCTCGCCGCAACCATAGCCCGCTCGGTCGAAAAAGCACTGGATGTGCCGGGCTACCTTGATTGGACAGTCATCGGCTAGCCTTGGAGCGAGATAGTAAAACATGGCGAATATGGGCGAGGATGCTGGACCTTGTCCTCTCGGACTGGAAAGAAATAGCATCTGGGCTAACCTCCCCAGAACTACGGACCGGGATATGGGAAAGGTATCCGTACCTCTGGCATGGAAGGTAGCCTGCCTGGTAGGTGTCCGTAGGAGAAAGAAGGACGACGAGGGAGTGGAAAGGGGGTGTACAGAACAACTACAGACAAGACTCAAGTCTCCTCCATCCAGTCAGTCCATCCAGTCTGGTTCGTTCAAATCGAGCAGACAACAGCACCGCTTGCTCGCCTGGACAACCAATAGGCACTTCCCCGGCGGCCCAGCACCACGGTACAGACCTTGCCTGACTTCAGCGATCCGATGTTCATTACTAGACAGTATGAGAGCACGATGCCTGAAAGAAGAAACCTGCTCCACTAGCTCGCAGACAGAAAGACAGAGAGACAGAGAGAGATACACGTCTCCAGTCCCCCAGTCTCTAGTTCTCCTCTCTTCAATCTGCACACTGCACAGAGCTGCACTAACCAGCCCAGGATCACTTGCAAGGGGCCGGAAGATCCACCAGGGTCCCTGTCTGTGGAGACGATGAAACATGCAAAAACGAAGTGTCAGAACTCAGAAAAGGTTTGGACAGATGTGGCATGGAAAAAGGACAAAGAAAGCTCTCTCCAGAGAGAGAAAACATAAAGAGCTTTTTTTTCCCACCATGACGGGCCACCATCCGCCAGGTGTGGCGTCTGTCTGAGTCTCTTACCCACCGTCGAGTCGAGTCGAGCCGATGTTCCTAGGTACCAAGGTAACTCACCACTCCAATCCGCTCCCCCACCACCGCGCGGCATGGCCTTGGACCACTTGGTCTCCCATCGTCTCCTGTGGTCTCCTATGGTCGACAGGGACCGCAAGAGCATGCAGAACGTGGCTGAAAGGGCGGGTCCCCGAGTTTGTGTGCCAAGGAATGGCCTAGGGGCAAGTGGTGATCCTGCTTCGACGGCGTCGTCGATGGACGTCACATTTAGCACCCATCTTCTTCAGGAAAACGGTGCAGCGCGGCGCAGGCACCAGATGCTGTGCAACCTGTGATCGCGATTCGAGCTTTTCGACGCCTAGCCTCGGGTTCGAGTTGGATCGCTTGCCTCATATGTCAGATGTCACAAGGTGGCAGAGATAACGGCGAAGCCTTCCCCGCCGCCTCTGCCTCGTCCCATCGAGCCTTCTGGCCAAGATCCATCGAGCTATCAAGCGGCTTCGGGAAGCTCTTCAACGACCCAGCCGACCACGTAAGTAGACTCCACGACGGCTTGGATTAGTCTCCTAGTCTCCGTAGTCGCCGTGATTCTCGCAACGTAGCCAATGGAGAGAGCCGTCTTGGCTCGAGTAGAGTCCAGATTCAGTTCGATTACCAACTTGGTGAGCCGGCGGGCTCGGGGATGGGATGGACGACACGACCTGACACGACGACACGACACCGGGCAAGCGGGAAGAAGCCAAGCCGATGTTGCTTAGCCGATGGATGGAGCAATTTCAGTCAAGACCCAGAAATCAAGCCGCAAAATAAAACTGTCTAACGGTTTCGTAGACATGTTTGCTCGTTATGCGTGGAAATTGTCAGGATTCGAGGGTTGTTTGCTTCCTTTGCTGGGCTGGCTTGCGTGGTTGTTTGTTACCAAATATTTGTTGGTGGCTGCGAACCCGGCAATCTGGATTTTCGACCAGGGTACCCCGTGTTTGCGCCGCAGTGTACCAGACGAGATGGGAGCCCCCAAGTGATCGATGCAATCTGGAATCCCACGATTGTCACAGTGCGTTATTGCCAGGGGCGGGGGGCACTGATGCCGTGCCGTGATGACCTCAGGCACGATGACCAGCTAAAACGAGAGGGGAGGCATCCCGCACCACCCGGGCGAAGCACACCTGCAGCTGGACTTCTGTGCCTCCTTTTGCCTCGCTCGGTGAAGTTCGGAGTCAGCGCCGGGGGCAACCAGGGCCGAAGTTGACGATTGGGAGGCCCAGTGACAACATCTTCATCGGGGAAAAAAAGTAATGCCGTAGTCGACTAAGGAAGTTATGGTGGGAAGTTGTTGTGGACTAGGAGACAGCCTTGCGACGAGAGGCCGTTGAGTAGGGCCCGTTGTGGGTTTAAGCAGGTTAGATCGGTAAGGATACGGCCGAGAAGGTGGCAGGAAGGCGCCGTCTCTTTGTCGTGCGGGAAGGCCAAGTAAGCGCTGTAGGCGGGCAGTTGGCGGGCGCGGTTGGATGGCAAGCGGGAGACGATGTCGATGATGAGCAGAGCATGAGAGTTCCTAGGCTGGCGCGCCGTCGACGGTGAGTAACGTGCATTCCCTTAGAGCTGCGTGCCGGATTGGGGAGAATGCAGTTTTAGTGCGCGATATCGAGGAGCTCCAAAGTGTGGGTGGCTTGATTGCTAGCAAGGATCACCGACACTACCCCTCAAGACGGACCCTTGCAAGCTTCTGGTATCCGCTGTGCCATGGTCAAATCCGGACGTCAGAGGGCGACCCGACGTGATGGCGCAAATAGCTTAAGGAAAGCTAGTGATCTCACAGCTAAGAGTTGTTGTTTGGGCTGTCAGACCCTTGCCATTCGATAGGAACGGCGGGATCCCGTGCGGAGTATCCTACGGTGTACGGAGTAGAGGAGGATAATACGACGGACGAATGATACAGTCGAGAATCCTCGGGCCAAAGGTGCTCGTGTCTGCCCTGGCTGGAGACAAAACTGGAATCTCTTTTTGTGTCAAGGGAGGCTTTTGAGGGACACAACGAGACATGAAAAAAGGTACGAGAAACCGAGGTGCGTTGCACAAGGTGTGAAAGGCGGAAGAGGCCGCGTCGCCCAGCCTTCGACTCGTGGCAGCCCAGTCTCCATGACCACTCTGGGACTCTGGGGGATCACCAAGAAGTCAGTCAGCGGCGTCACCACACCAGTCTGTGAGACAGGACAGAGTGGGATATTGTGATTGGGCACCGCGTAGCCCCGGGTTACGGGTAACGTCGAGGCTGGTTTGGAAGCCGATCAGAGTATGACGCCTTCCACCGTCTTGTCAATGCGATTGTTGTTTGATGTTCCTGCTTCAAAGAATAAGATTCTTTGTTTTAGTTGGTGCGGATTGCGATTGTTCAGGCGACTGCGGCCGAAACGAAATGACAAAAATTGGGTCGGATGAACTGGTGTTCCAGGTGGTCCAGACAGTGCCATGAGCAGTGCCGGCACGATGCAGCCAGCAGCTTAGCATAATAGTCGGCGGTCGCAGTGCCAGGTGCGCGAATGCGGGCCGTTCCACGGAATGAGGCATCAGATCATGCAACTGCCCGTGCTGTTGAACCACGACTCGCGTAGGTATGTTGACAGCTCAGCTCGAGTCCCATCTTCCACCACACTAGGCATTATCGCAGCGCCTCGGCCATCCGTCAGAACCGGTAGCATGGCATGGCATGGCATGACGGGGTTGCGTTGATTTTGCGGTTCGGTGCATTATGACAGCTGCCCTCCCTTTCGGACTTGGCTTGTCGTCTCTCGGGTCCTTACATGGCGGGATGCGCGCTCCCGCGGAAAATTTCTTCAGCTTCTCGGCAGAGACGAGAACTCTAGGCCAGTGCACTGCGACATCAGGTGAACGATATTGGCACCGAGGTGCAATATTGACGGGGGAGGGACCCAAAAGAGGTTCTTGGGCGGCTTTGGGGCCGGCTGGACGCGTTGGAATAATGGAGAGAGGCGCGCTGAAGGACCCTCACGCAGCGTGGGGTGCTAGATAGTCTGCCAATCCAGAGCCCAAATTCAAGTTCCGCGAGGCACACTATTCCATCGCCGAGGGGCGACATTCGGGCAGCAGCGGTTCTCGACCACGGAGGCCGTTGGTCCATAAACTCTAGAACAGGCGGAGGGTCGGTTGGAGACTGGTCATTGGAGAGACCCCATGCGGTACACGAATAATGTTGAGCTCCAGGCAGCTCCAGCTTCAGGTAGTTCTACCAAGTATACGAATAGCTCGCAGCTTCCAGGTGTCCCATGATGGGGGGTGAGGACTGAAGAGGTGTGACCAAGATGCGTGGATAGAGTTTGAGTACCGGCATTCCACAGTGGCCATCCTTGTGATTCGTGTCCCCTGAGAGGGCGATGGGTTTCGGCTGGTCGCAGGATCTTGGGTGGCAGGACAGGGCGAGAGTGGGCATCACGACGGAATGCAGCTGACTCTTCCAGAACTCTGGCCCTTAGGCCCGTCAGGATTCCACTCGATGATTTCTTCCCGAGGCCCCTGGAATGACGACGATGGGTGAAAAAATGATCAATGTGAGTGAGATCATTGGACATGGGGGCCTGGCAATGCCGGGACAGTTCCGGAGATCCATCGATCCATCGAGCGAGATGCCTGGGTCGATGTGAGCAGTGAGCAGTCGAATATGACCGTGGTCGAGGCCATACCATGAGAGAGTTAGCGCAGGCGATTGACTGGGAGAATAAGAGGTGGGAGGCGATAAATCTGATCGTCGGGACGGGCGATGGAGCCGAGTGAATGGAAAAGAGAGGAAGGGGAAGAGAAAGAAGAAAGATGATTGAGAAAGGAAAAGATTAGTGGTGCCAGATGGATGGGAATTGAGCCCCTGTCATGTCGGCGGGCCCCCTGTCCTGACGCAGGGAAGCAAGAATGGGCGAAAGAGATGGAGAAGCGGCGCCCCAGGGTACGACTGCACGCGCTCAGCCACGTACGGAATCTCTAGTGGGAGTTGAACATTCCAAAGGGAAAAACGGCAGTCTCGTCGACAAGTGGGCGGGAGGATGTTGGTGTTGGAATTGGGGCTTGGTGTTGGTGAGAAGTGGAAATGATTGAGGTGGCAGCTTTGAGCGGGAGGGAGACAGCACGCAAGATGGGAGGAAGGCACACCCGACCCGGATGGCAGCACAAAGTACGTACCTGTTTCCGGCCGACGGATCCGGGGACGGCGACGGCAGGTGGGGACTTGCCCGGAGGCCGAGGGCGGCAGGTGCAGCTTCCGTCTCCCACCTCAGTACTCCTCCACTGCCCTCGCAACTTCCTCCTCAGGCTCTAAGGTATTCTACCTCGAAGTTAAGGCAAGCAGGTACCTTACTTCTGTACAGCCGCGTACCTCTTGCCTCCCATTCCCAGAATAACGTGACCTGGCCGTACCTGGGCCACTGGTTTTGCCTGTTTTATTCTTAGCGCTCGGCACCGGAGCCCCGACTCCCCGGGCACGTGGTCTCACCAATCACGGCCGAACTGAACCCCTGAGCCGATCCAGTGAGGTCTTGCCTCGAGATGTAAGTCACTTACCGCGGTAAGGTACGGACAATCCTCACAGGTCTCGACGCCTCTCCATCTATTGGCCGCAAATTCTTTACTCTGACCTCACATCCATCATCTGAATCTCGCCCACCTCGCCCACCTCTCCCGTCTCGTCCATCAGCTCCATCAGCTCCATCTTAGGTCCCTCAAGACTCAGACATTGGAGACATATTCTACCATACTAGCATGACCCTTGATCCGGATCTATCGCCAGCCGCCTCGGCTCCTGCTCCCTTCAGGTCTACCGTCAAGTAGACTGGCTTTTCAGCGTATCTTTCTGGGTATATCTTCTTCTACACCCCTCCCACCCCTGCGCTGACGTTCATCGCATCTCACATTGGATCCGAAATCCCATCAAGGCGGACCCTGATGAACGGGGAATATGCAGCTGGCCTCCTCCTGACTATCCATGTCGATCCGATGCTCCATGGGTAGCTGCTGGATCGTTGGGTCGCTGCATCGCAGATCGACGGACCCAAAGCCATGATTCCGCCTCCCTGCTGGTCCCAATTCCATTAGCTGCCCTCCCGGATCGCACCCGCTCCCGCGCAAGCTCCCGCTCGGGGAGCCATCCCGCCTGCAAGCCGTGTCTCGACGCCTGGTCCTGGCATCCATCGTCACGATGCACAACTTGGGCGCCAGAGCCAAGTTACTCGTCACTTTTCTGTGCTGAGAAAAAGCAAAGTACACCGGGAATACGACTTTCTCTGTGTCACCCAACCCATTTTTTCTGGTTTCGTCCAGTCTTCCCTTCGTGAACGCCGCGAGCCTCGTCCGCACACCCTTCCGCCTTAACCTATGGACCATGGACGAAGGCTTCATCCCAACGGCGGGCTGCTTACTTGATGCATTATAGCAATGGCACGAACGAGTCGCTTGGCTGCTACACCGTAACGCCCAAGTTCAGAATCTCAAACTGTGGTTCACCAGCGGACCGTCCCGATTCGATGCAGTGCCTAGCCGATAGAGGGCGTATTATCAACAACGATCGTTGTTCGATGTCAATATCAACTTCATCTTCTGAATCTCATCAACTTGCTACATCCCAAGATTCGACTTGGCGTCTAGAAGCCTCATTTTTCAGCCTGTGCGCAAGATCGTGTCAAATTCCACACGTCAGAAAATTTTCGCAAAACCCATCGCCTCGAAACAGCGCAGCTGGGAAAAAGAAAAACTTGGACTCGCACGGCCGAGGGAGGACCAAGTTACGAAAAAAGGACACAAGGCAAAAAAGTAACGAACTCTCGACACACAGTTGTGGTTCACAATGACAAAATTGTTTGAAAATTTCAGAGAGGTATCTATCTATCAATACAATTACAATTCAAGCAAGGTGCGCGCGAGGAAAAGAACCTCTTTCAGTTCGATACCAAAACTTGTCGCCCCGCCCAATCATCCCTTCGCAAGATCCCAGCCAAATCTTTTTCTTTCTTTCTTTCTTTCTTTCTTTCTTCCTTTTCTCCCTCTCTTTCAGCCCTGTCTAATCTGATACTCAAATCACTGCTGTTGACTGACTACTGCTCGACGTCACCAGTTGCGAATAGCTCCAGCTTCACTCTCTCCCTCTCGACGCCCAAACCTTCCAACACAAGTCTCACCTTGAGCATCCAATCCCTCGGCCCGCAAACGTAGTACTCGGTTCTCTTGTCGGCGAGGCCGAGCTCTTCTTCCGGCAATTGCTTCAGGTCGAGGTGCTGCTCGTAATCGTACTCCTGCCCCTTCTCGTCTCCTGGCATGACCTCATTGAGGAAGATATGCGCGCTGACGTTCTCTCGCTCCCGCGTCAGGTTCCGGATGTGCTTGGCAAACACCAAGTTGCTGCTGTTGCGTGCGGCGTGCACCCACTTGATCGGCCGGTTCGGCGTCTTGGACTCCGGGCTCAGCACCGTGTTGAGGATCGACATGAGCGGCGTTGCACCGACACCTGCCGAGAGAAGCACCAACGGAACGTCCGCCTTTTCGGATTCTTTCGCATCCAGGAAGAAGTCTCCTTGGGGGTGCGACACATCGATTTCGTCGCCAACCTGGTAGCCGTCGTGCAACAGGTTGGAAATGAGGCCGGGAACCAGGCCCTTCTTCAGGTCATCTTCCGGCGCGTCCACCACTGTCGCCTCACGCTTGACACTGATGCGGTAGTATTCTCCTTGTGTCGCCGCGTCGCTGAGACTGTATTGTCTGGGCTGAGTGATGCCGCCGAGTTGCGGTACTGGGACCTGCACGGAGATGTACTGGCCCGGTAGATACTTGGGCAGGGGGAGCTTGCCGTCTGAGGGTGCGAGGTAGAAGCTGGTGACGGAGTCGGACTCGTCGATGCGGCGGATGATCTTGAACTTGCGCCAATTTGTCCAGGTGCCTGCTTCCTGGTACATCTCCTTCTCGCGGCCGATGAAAACCTGCGCAAGCTGCCCGTATGCTAGTGTCCAAGCCTCGGCGATCTCGGGTGTAAGTGCGTCGCCCAAAACTTCCCCAATCGCCTTCATAAGGTGGTGGCCGACAATGTTGTAGTGCTCAGGGCGAATGTACAGCGACGCATGCTTATGAGCGATGCGCTCAACGGCGGATTTGAGCTTGGGCAAATCGTCGATATACGTGGCATAGGCGAGAACAGACTGGGCGAGTGCCCGGGGCTGCTCACCGGAGGCCTGGTTGCGAAGACTGAAGATGTTCTTGAGTTCGGGATGGGTGTCAATCATGTCCTTGTAGAAGAGGGTCGTGATGGTCTCGCCGTGCACCTTGAGCACGGGCGCCGTCGACTTGACGATGTTGATTTGGTCTTGCGTGAGGCCCATTCTGGCGGATGAGATGGAGAATGCTCGGGCAAGGTTGTTTGTGGGACGAGCCAAAGTTGGCAAAAGACGAGTGGTCTTGAAGAGGGAGAACATCTACCAAGGGTGGTAAGTCGGAGGTGATGTTGAGGCTGACGGTGACGATGATGATGATGATGATGATGTGCTGCAGCCAGTGCTCAGCAGTCTGAAGTCTGAAATTTCTTATTGTCTGTGTGACGAAAGTCTGAAGTCTGATGTCTGGATAGGTAGTGATACTTCCTCTCTTCTCTCTTCCGTTTCAGAAGCGGGAGACTCGGGCAGTATTTATTTCCTAGGACAAAGGTGCACCATTTCCACGGGACGACGTTTACAATTGACAAATATCAGACTTCTCAATGGTCGACGATGTGTGCGGACCGCTCATGGCCGCTGGCCTCCACAGAAAAACCGGGCGTCCCGTAACATGGCTCATTGCCGGTGGCCTGACATTCGGGTCGGAGTTCCACATGTCGTTGAATCTTGCATCTCCGCGGCGCGCACCCGTTTAATGGGCCACAACGTCGGCAACGGGATCCATTTCCCAGGACGGCCGGGGGTCACCCCTGACCAGAGGACCATGGACCACGCCGACGAGGGCGGAATCGTCAGCGGCCGCTTTCGCGTGGCTCGTCAGAGCTGCCGACTGGATTACAGGGTTGCAAATGCTAATCCGCGGAGAGTAAGTCTGGACCTTGGGGTTGTTTTTGGCATTTACTTTGCAGTTGCGTCACTTTTGGATCGCCATAGCGACACTGAGTCGTTACATCGTGGACACTCATTGATGAAGGAACCCACTGTGGATGAAGCGGCGACAGACTTGTTGCGTAGATTCGGTGAGAACCGCCGACTTCAAAGGCCTCATTCACGTGCCACTCGTCACTGCGTAATGGCACTGACCTCTCTGCCCTGCCGGTAACAGCCGGTGGCAGCATGCAAGCTGCAAGATGGATCGAGAACCGCCCTCGGAGTCTCCAAGGTCTGAGTTGTTGCGGACGCGCACTCTCTTCTGTCAAAGTTGTCACGAGCGCGGCGCGGCGGCCAAGCGTCCGAGTTCCAGAGGAGCCAGAAACATCAAACCTCTTTGGTGGTGTAGGTGGTTCCTGGCACTAACTCAATTAGCAACGCTGCCTCCCTCGCCTGTCAAAGCCTAATTCTGCAGGCGAAAACCAGCTGTGGCGTGTGTTGGAGCAGGGTACATGGGATGCTAGACACTGGTTTCTCTTTTTCCTCTCAGTCGATTACAGTGGCGTCCCCGGCTATCGATTCTGTGCCTGGAATTGATTCTTGACAGATGGTGAGGAAAGGGATGGTGGAACATGGAGGGTGAGGTGTACCGAGTGGCCGACGCCTCACACTCACCAGAGTTAAGAGTCAAGAGTCAAGAGTCAAAAGTTCAACAGGCGAGAAACATGGATTTCAGAGACGAGAGACAACAATGTCGCACCGCCACTCCCGTTTTGAGTGGCTTGTAATTAGATCTGTTTGTGATTCGTCCGTACGGGTACAGTTGGGCATTTGCGTCACATTTCATGGGAATCACCGTCCTGCTAGTTTCGCTGAATATCGTTCGAAGCCTTAGTGGACGCCGATTTGTGGGTAGACTATAGCAAATATGACGAGAAAGGAGCACTGGGTTTTCCTGCTGACTCGATTCGGAAGCAAATTGATTTTTCTTGGACAACAAACAAATACGGATACTAGGGCTGGGAAAAGATCACCGCGATGGTGCCCAATTTCCAGTTCCAACTCTCCCCGAGCCGACGGGATGAAAGTCTCCATCGGACTCATCCCAGGTGCTGAATTCCTGTGCGATGGATGAGCCTCTATGACTTGATCAAGACTTTGAATCCGATTATACCTCGTGCCTTGAGTTGATGGCATGGCAGTCTCAATGTCACTCCTCAAGTCCTTGTGCGTGTAATACCATAAATGCAAATTCTTAGCCCATGACCATTAACCAACGAACCCCAACGGCGCCTATCCCCAGCCCGGCCACAACGCTAAGAAAACAATCCCGCTGCGCTCTCCCGCATCCCGCCGCCACATCAGTGCAGCTTTGCGCCGCCAGCTGACGCGCTGGGAGCAATTACCTAATACCTCGAGAGATTTCCCGGGATGACTTTGTAAGAAACAGAAAACGCACAAACGCGGAACCGCAGTGTGAGAATCCAATGCCCAAAGAAATATCGTGGTTCCACGATCCCTCCCGATGATCCCACAGGGCTAGCGGAGGGGCCCATGACCTGGGACCTGGGGAAACCTTCTCCGCGGACCGGGTCGCGTAGGGCGTGATGCGTGTTCAGGGAAGAGGGCGGCGGGGATAGATCGTGGGTCGTGGCTGTGAGCATTGTGGTAACCTTGATTTGGACGAGTATGACTGCGTGTAAATGTTCTAGAACTATGCATGCCGTGGACGAAGACCAATCATGCTTTTCTCATTGACGAGCGCAGAGAGTTTTGAGGTCGAGTATGGTTCGATAGAGTAGGTATTCTCAGCACGAAAACAAGTACCAGCACCCAGTTCATGTCTCCTACCTTTGGCTTTGGCGCAAGAAGCCCCAACCGACAGTATGCACTCATGATAGGCAGTAAAGACGTGCTTACTGAAGGCACCGTTACCCCAATCTTGGCATGATTCCACTTTACCGCAGCTGCCTTGGTGCGTTTTGCACGTTTACGTCGTTGCGCAGTGTGCGCTGAGTCGTGACCTCGCAGATCTCGCTATTGCGAAATGTCCGAGGTGCGAGCTTTGTGGGACCATTTTTTTTTTGGGTGAGCATGACCAACGCGACGACACAAGGCGTCAACCGTGGGTTAACTGGGTCTAGATTTGGATCTTTGGATGGAGATTCACGGGATTTGGAATTTTGATGATTTGGTTTTGAATATTGCATCTCCTCGGTGAAGGATTTTATTTTTGAGATGATTGAGGCGGAGGTTCATTTGCGGAAGTAGATTGAGGCCGAAAGTCCACCGGGTCATTGACATGTCAGGATATTGTGTTCTTGCAAATGCCAACTTGACGTTAAATCTACATGAATCTTTCGCAGCAGTGTGGCAATTGTCGTGGCACATCGCCTGTCGAGGGTTTTGCTGTGATCGGGATATCAACCTGATAGTTGGCTGCCATCTCATCCTTCATCACCACCAAATCGATCCCAAGAGGCGGCTCAACGGGAAGAAAACGCCGACGCTTGGATTGAAGGGACCAATTAACATGCTGTCACTCACGCTCTTCCGATATATTACCATCGCGAGAGTTCCATTGAGGCGAAATATGGCCACCTTGAGAACCTGCTCTGTTGGTAGATGTCAACCCGGGAAGTCAGGTGTCCATGGTGAACGAGCAGAATCTTAGATCGTTAGAGCTTCTCTGGGTCGAGTGACATTCACGTTTGTATGTTTCTCAAGCCGCGGTCGTCGTCGCCGCTGAGTGGCCATAAGAACCAGACGAAGACGAACAAGAGAAAGATCGCCTGTCCTGGCTAGGCTGGCATCACGAATTTCGTATACGAACTCGAGCATTGAATATACTAAAAAGAAAAACACTGCCCTCGTCATGAAGAGCAGATGTACTGGCTAATTCAATCCGGTCAAGTGGTGCGTGATGCCTATCATCTGTCTCTTCACTTCAACAGCCTTATAACAATTTCCAGAAAGTTCACGAAAAGTCATTCCTCGATATGGAATCGAACAAAAAACCATACGTCAGATCCGGTGGTCGAAGGGACTGAGATCCACACTCGGGTCTTCCCCCATGAACCCCTCGACCAACTTACCCGAAGCGCTTGGTGACAGGAACGAAGAGGAAGGTATTCAAGTATCCTGCCTCGTCGAGGTGAATACACATCACCGGCGTCGTATTCACTCTCCAGTAAAAAGGTTCAAAGTCAGAACCGTGTCAGGATCACGATATAGAAGCGAGCTAGAATCTAGGAAACATCTCGATCCAAATCGAAACACCAAGGAAATCTACCCCGCCCCTCCTATTCCATCTACATCACCACCTTCAAGGCCTAGGCTCCCACTCCCAATACCCCTTCCCAGTACCCCGTCGCCCATCCCTGCCCGCCAACGAACTGCGGTTATGACAGCTCGGATGGAAGTGATCCTCCTTCAGCCCAAAAGGCCACATGGCAATGAAGCAAATCTCCCCGACGTCGCACCCAGGCCTACACTTCTTCCACGTGCTCCACCCGAAATCCTCCTTCAGCGCCTGAATCACCTTGCGGCCCTTTGTCACCGCACCCTCGAGCTTCTTATCGTCGTCCCCGTGACTGTCGTCGACCACGCGCCGGACCTCCGCCTCGGAAACGGCCCCGACCAACGCCGGTAACGCCTGTAGAACGAGACCCCGGACATCAAAGAGGTCTCCGCAGAGCCGTTGGACGACAGCCTCGACAGCAACGTACATCATCCCGTCCTCGGGCGTCCACTCGGCCTTCCAAACCGTCGCCGGCGTCAAAAAGTGCTTCACGCACCGCTCCCGCGCCTCCCTCACGTACCCATCCTCCTCCTCCCCCTTCTGCTCCTTCGCAACAACAGCAGAATCGTCCGCATCCCTCGGATAATCCACAAAGGTATTCGTAACAGTCAAAACCTGCGCCACAAACCCCTCATCCCCTCCATCCGCCCCCTCATCCGCCAACGTCTCAATCCGATCCCCATGCCTCGTAACAATCATATCAACAACGCCCTGCCAATCAACCCTCCCATCCTCCCACCCCGCCCCCTTCACAATCTCCTCAACCCGTCCAAGCATAACCCCCCTCTCCGCCTCCGTCAACCGTCCCAGGCGCGGCATATCGACCCTCCCATTCGGATTACTCACATTCAAAGGATACCACAACCCGCTCACCATCCCCCCAAACCCAAGCCTCACCCGCCCGCCGCCGATGCCATCATACCGCTGCCCGACGGCCCTCGCCCACTCAAACATGTCGATACCGCCCCCTGCCTCGGGGACATCATTCCACGGCCGCCGCAGCACGCTCTCGAGCGCAAGTCCCTCGTGGAAGTCGCAGTAAATCGCCTCGAAGCCGATTTCCATCCTAATCACACCGTCCAGACCCCACGCCTCAACGACATCACATATATCCGCGGCCCGGTCCCACTCCCCGAACCCGGGCGCCTCCTTGAGACCGCGTAGCAGGAAATCCTGTGTGTCGAGCGTGCCCATGCCGGTTTTACCGGCCGCCATGCCGTCGAGGTACAGCAGCTTCAGATCCCGCTTCGCGCGGTAGGTGTGGAAGTATCCCCGGACAGGCTTCCCGTCGCCGCCGCCGGGTCCACCAGGTCCCTTCGGAGGAGGCATCTTTCTGTCATCATCGTCGTCGACATCCGCCCCAATAGGCCGTTGACTTCCCTCCTGTCCCATCATGAGAATAGGCTCCGAGCCATGCGGTCCTTCAGGTGGTCCACCGCCACCACTACCCGGCGGACCCCCGGGACCCTTACCCTTCCCAGGCGGCCTCGGAGGCGGCGACCCCCTCCCGCCCCGGAAACTCCTCGCGAACCCCTCCGAGTGCTCCATCTCGAACGCGAGCCACTCGAAGCTGTCGGGGGTACTATTCGACCTCGTGCCGTGATACAGCAGCGTGCCCTTGGGCACCGTGGCGGGAATGAGACCCAGCCCGTTGTGATGCAGCGAGGAGCCCCATTGCCGCATGGCAGAGTGTACGGCGTTGAAGATGTGCACCGCATTCTCTCGCGCATGATCCGCGCTCGGCGCGAAGTCGACTGACGACGATGATGTTGTTGAAGGTGGTGATTGATGATTAGGCGGTCGCGGCGCCGAAATGGGCTCGGCCGAGACGAGAGCCGTCGCCGGAGATAAACCCAGGCCAGCAGATAGCGCCAAGACGGCGGCGGCCGAGACGAGGTGAACCATAATGTTCACCTTGGGACAAACTTAAGGTACGGATTTGGAAAAGGAACACACCAGATCTAGAAACACTGTTGAGCCATGTCCAGTCGAGATAA